TGTGAAGGGAGGGCTAGGAATGGGGAATAAATAAGAACCAAGATGCATTATGTAAAGGTACAATTCCCAATGAGAAATGTAACTGTGTTGCATACCTAAAATGTACCAATAAAAGAATTTAATAAAACAAACAAACAAACAAAAAAAGAATGTACCCAAGAGGTGAACTTGGAGATGCCAAGCTCCTATGTGGCTGCCAATCATTTACCAACCTGCCCTGGTTTCCAAGCTTACTTCACAGTGCCTGCCCCAGGGAACTCAGGCATGTCATTAGTGCTAACTGTTGTGGCTACCAAGGAAACCTTCCCACAGTTTGCAAACATGCTACATACACATCATAGGCAAGGGAGCACTGGAACCCCCAATGGAGATGAGAGGGACCCAGGGACTCTCCTGGAGCAGTACTGTTACAGCCCTTGGACTTGATCTTGGATTCTGTTATTTTCCAAAGAAAGGAGTCCCTCCCCCTTTCTATTCTTCCCTTTCTCTCACAGGGTTACACCCATTCTCAGAACCTACAAGTATGGAGAGAGACCTACTTCATCAGGCACAGAGCTTTCCCTTGCAGCTGGCCTCCAATTCCCAGCAAGTTTAAGGAGATACTTTCATTTTTGTTTATTTCTGAGTGTGTGGTGCTGGAGATCAAACCCAGAGCCTTGCCCATATTAAGCATGAGCTCTACCACTGAGCTGCATTCCCAGACCCAAGGAGATCATTCTAAACGAGTGTCCACATTTTTGTCAAAAGCCTGTTGTAAGTTTTTCCAGAAAAGGATCTTCTTTGCAATGAGGATCTGACTGATGGCCTTGGGAATATTTCAGAGAAGATTTTTGGATACTAACATGATTTATCTTCCCAGCAGCAGAACTGTCAAAAACAAACAACACACTTCTTTCTCATCTAAAAGAAAACTGTCATAGAAATATTAATGTTTCTTTTCCATGAAGGAATCATTGCTTCTTGGTAGAGCTTCTCCATCTTCAGGCCTAGGCCAGAGCCCTGACTGGAGTTGCCAGGCTGCATGAGAAGTGGCACTGCAGTTGGTGCGCCTTGCTGGCCAGGACCCACCCTGCCTGCAAAGGGTCCACAAGGAGATTTAGAACAACACCCCACCACATTATCTCCCCTTCCCTGCTCTAGTCTGAGTTGAGCTATAAATCTTTTGACTAAATTTCAGCTCCATGTTGGAACCTACAGGTGTGCAGCACAGTTTCTGTCTCCAACGTGAGATAAACAACTTTATGGGACCATTTATCCATTCACATGGTATCCCAAAATATTTCCAGATGAAGATGTACCAAGCTCCTGGTGCTGACAGACAGACAGATAGCTGACCCAAGGGCCAGCCTTTTCTCAGCAGCCTGGTTCTCGGAGGCCAGGCCTCAGTTCCGGCAGGGATGGGGGAGGTGTCAGGGACCATGACCAAAGAAAGTCCACTTACTGTGTCTTCGGACAACACGTGAGAAGGGAGATCTGAGCAACGTCCACTCTCCAGGCCTCTCCAAATTCCTGTTAGAAACGGACTTCCAAGAGACAGGCAAGGAGTATCTTCCTGCCTCCTAGGCCCTTGCCCTGTCCTCAGCAAGTCTTCTGTGGACTTTTGGCTATGGTCACCTCAAATCGAAAATACTATCGGTGCCTCTTGCTGAACTCAAGCTCTGGAGTGGCTCGCAGAGGAACCAGAGATGTCAACAGGTTTGTTGAAAAGTAATACTATTAAAAGCTTGTCTTTGCAAGGGCCCGAGTTCGATCCCCGGTACCAAAAAAAAAAAGCTCGTCTTTTGCCTACAGAATTCAGACCACTAAGCCCTCTAAATCACTTTTTTCGAAAAGTAAAACCCAAGGCCATCCTGCCTGGGAAAGCAGTCTTGGGGGATCAGTCATCCCGCTCGGGGCCTGCATGGCTCCGCGCGACCTGCCCACCGGGCGCCTCAAAGTGAGCCAGGCGCACTGCAGCGCGTCTGGAGGCAGAGCCGCCCGGGCCGCGCGGTCTCCGCGGGTATAGAGCCGCTAATGTTTAACCTCCCCTCGCTCAGGGCCCAGATCGCGCCCAGAGCACCGACGCTGCCTCCCGCTCCCTCCCAAGCTGAATTCCTAGCGTAGTTTTCCTAAGCAGCCAGGCTCACCATGGGGTCACCCGGAACTGGGGCCAGTGACAGGAGGGCTCGTGGAGAAGGCTCCCCCTCTCGCCTGGTCCGCCCGCCTCCAGACTCACTACGTCGCCCACACAGCCCGGAGGCCGTTTGCAGAATCTCGCCCGCCCACGGATGCTCCCCAGAGGGCGCGGGGGTCAGAGCCCGCGCCGAGCGCACCTCCCCGCAGCCCGGGGCCTGGGGTTTCTGGTGCCTCGGGGGCCTCGCCTCCCGGGACAGCCGTCCCACCCCTCTCGGAGGAGAGGCGGAGACTTCCCAGAGCCCCTGAGACCATACTTTTAGTTCCGTTTGGATGGGGGAAGGAGGGAATGCCACGTTTAATCCGTTAAGAAAATCCAAGATCCAAAGGAATAGTTGGCTGGTCTGTCCGGGTGGAGCTCAGGGAGGCTGGACCTGCTCCCAGCTTCCACCCCCAGGCACACGCAGAGGCGCGCACCCTGCGGGGGGTACAGCAGCTGGCTGGCTGAAAACTGGGACAGCTTCAGCTTTTCCCCTCCCGGCAGACAATCCTGCCTCGCGTCCAAAACTGGAGAGAACTTCCTGGGTTGTAACTAGAACCCAAGTTAGGAAAGTCCTTGGCGTGTGCTCCCGTCTCATTAGAGAGCAATAACCTTCCCCAGCTGGGGTACTTTTGCCTTGGCCCAGGAAGCTCTACGGGACCAAGGGGACAAAAAAAAAAAAGAAAAACCACTCATTTTATCTCTTGATATTACCCCCACGTCTTCCCATCTTTGCTTTGCTGAGACTCACAATAACAGAAAGTCTTGCTTTGTTTTGTTTTGTTGTTTTGTGGTCTTCCACCACAAAACATCAATCTGCCAAGGCCTGCACTTTCGGCCAGCCAAAGCAAAAGTGTTTGAGAATAACAGATGCTAAGGAGGTGAAGAAACTGGAACCTCTGTGCCTTTGCTTGAATACAAAATGGTAGAGCCACTGTGGAAAACAGAATGGTGGTTTCTCAGGAAATTAAAAATAGACTAGGTAGCTTATGAACAGAAATTCATTTCTCTCAGTTCTGGAGGCTGAGAAGTCCAAGATAAAGGTCACAGAAAATTCATGGCCTGGTGAGAGCCTGTTTCCTGCTAGATGGACTGGTGGCTCTCTCACTGTGTCCTCACAGAGCTGAAGGGTCTAGGTAGCTCTCTGGAGTCTCTTTTACAAAGGTAGGAAACTCAGTGATAAGGATTCTCCCCTCAGGGCCTAACCACCAGTAAGAGGCTCCAATCCTAATTCCATCACCATGGAGGCCAGGAGTTCAACCCATATGGGGGGAACATAAACCCTCAGACCAAAGCAAAATATTATGCTGCTGTGGTCTGGATAAGTATCCCTCAAAGGCCTGGTCCTCAGCAGGATACTGTTGGGAGGTAGTAGAACTAAGACAGGGGTTCCCAAACCCCAAGAAACAGACAGGTACCAGTATGTGACCTGCTGACAAGCAGGCTGCACAGAAGGGGATGAGAGCAGACCTAGGAAGCTGGATCTGACAGGCATCCCCCATGGCTCTCATTACCACCTGAGCTCCACCTCCTGTCAGATCAGTGTGGTGAGATTCTCTTAGGAATAAGCATGTGAGGGATCTAGATTGCAGATTCCTTTTGAGAATCTAATGTCTGATGATCTGAGGTAGAGCTGAGGTGATGACACTAGTGCTGGGGAATGTAATTATTATGTATCCCAAACATATACTATTAAAAAGGGAAACGTTAAAAAAAATCCCCTGGGCCAGGGATTTAGCTCAGTGGTTTCGCCACCTGCTGTGCAAGCGTAAGGACCCAAGTTCAATTCCCAGTACGAAAATATATACATATATATATCCCCTGCCCATAGAAACACATCCTTGGTGCCAAAAAAGTTGGGACCCGCTGCTTTAAGAGTAGGGCCTGGTAGAGGGTTTTAGGTCACTGGGGAATATGACTTTGAAGAAGACAGTAGGACTCCAGATACTTCCTTTTCCTCTCTTCTGCTTCTGTGCCATGAGGAAAGGAGTTTTGCTCTGCCGCATGCTCCTGTCATGCTGTGCTACCACAAGCTCAAAGCAATAGGGCCAACCTCTAAAGCAAGAGCCAAAATAAACCTTTTCTTTTTGTAAGCTGATGGTCACAGGTTTTGTTATAGTGACAGAAAGCAAACACGAGCTAAATGAAGTAAGTCAGTCACAAAAGGAAATATACTATTTGTTTCCACTTACACAAAATAACTAGAAATAGTTGAAATCATAGAGACAGGAAATAGAATAGTAGTTACGAGAGACTGAGGAGAAATAGGAATTTACTGTTTAATGGGAGCAGGGTTTCAGTTTGAGAATGATCAAAAAGTTCCAGAGATGGAGAATGATGGCTGAACACCAATATGAATGTACTTAATGCCACTGCACTATACACTCAAAAGTGGTTAAAATGGAAAATTTTATGTTGTGTACATTTGAACACAATTTTTTGGTGCTACATCTCCAGCCCATGATAATTTTTTAAATGAAGAATAAAAGTGGATAGAATGGGACCAGAACCAAATAAGGATATCTGTAAATCATCTACTCTGACAGGGAGTCTTGTTCCTCCCCCCTTCTCCCAGTCAGGGCACCTTTTTCACTGGATGGGTGGGAAATAGCCAGGTTTTGAAGCCAAAGACACATCTACCTTTCCCCATCCCAAGATGTATATCCGGAAAAAGTCACTTACCTCTCTGAGGTTCAATTTTGTCATCTGTAAAATGGGAAAATTAAGCTGGCTGTGGTGGCACACACTTGTAATCCCAGCACTCTGGAAGGCTGAGAATCACACACAACTTCAAACCAAGTCTGGGTAATTTAGCAACTTAATGAGACACCATCTCAAAATTTAAAAAAGAAAAAGAGCAAGGGACATAGCTCAGTGCAAAGGCCCTAGGTTCATTTCTCAGTACCACAAAAAGAAAAAAAGGAAAAATAAACTCTACCTGGCATAAGTGTTATGAGAATCAAATTAAGTAAAATATCTCCAGGCTCAGCTGAAGCCTGGGCAATCAGTGATGTACCCTTTATATTTCACAATATCTATAAAATCACTTGAGTATTTGCTTCCTGTTCACTTCCCATTGAATCCCTGAGGTTTATAAAAAGTAGCTGTCTTGGTCACTTTCTCATCACTGGGACAAAATACTTAACACCCACCGTTGGGAGCAATGCTACATAACTTTAGGGAAAAATCGTTTGATTAGGCCTAGTTCTCCTGCCTACAGGCCAGGTATGGCATTTCGAGACATAATTTCATTTTGGCCTCTCGTCACAACTGAGACCTCAATGATCTAATGATGCTGTGATTCTCCAGGACAAGATTACACCAGCGGGAGACATCCTGGGAGGAAACAAATTTTCTTATGCATAGTTCCTAATTCTTCTTGGATTTCTGCCACTACCCCCCCACCCCACCCCCAGTCTTTTGTTACACTTTGTTTATCCCGAGGTGATGTACTGAACTCTCTGCAAGTCATTTTTTACATTTGTTTCTCCGGATGTACTGAATAAAAAGTGCAGCAGGTGAGGGGCCAGGGACTTAATTCAATGGTTCTGCTGCCTGCCTTGCAAGCATAAGGTCCTGAGTTTGATCCCCAGTACCAAAAAAAAAGAAAAGGTGCAGCAAGCTCTGGCCCAAAACTCAGCTTCTTCTCCAGGTCTCATTTTTTCTACCTTTCTACCTTTCCTGTATAAGTTAATTCACCTTGTGCTGCTGTGGCTTCCGAGAGACTAGGACTTACTGCAGAGGTTCTACCAATGTCCCTTTTCCTTATTCCCTACAACCCACAGCTTTAAAAAGATGTTTATTTTGGCTCATTGATTTTAGAGGATTCAGTCCATAGTGACCTGGCTCCAAGGCTGGAAGGGCATAGTAAAAGAGTCTAGCAGAGGAAAGCTGCTCACATCGTGACATCCTGGAAGCAGACGGAGAAGGGAGGAATGGGGAGGGAGATATACCCTTCTAAGTCATGCCCACAGTGAACCACCTCTTCCGACCAGGTCCTGCCTCCTAAAAGCACATTCAACCATGGACTCATCAGTGATTAATCCATTGGTAAGTATGCCACCCCCATGATCCAATCACCTCCTAAAGGTCCCACCTCTGAACACATGAGACTTTTGGTGGACGTTCTACACCTAAACCACAACAGTGTCTCTGAGGGTACCTGTGCACATGTTTCTGTGTATTATTTCCATCAGCCTCAATTTTCTCACGTTACAAATGGAGTGTCCTTTTTTGCAAGGTTGTTGTGATCAAGCGAGTTGACATATACCCAGATCTACTTTACCCAAAAGCCAAAGCCTCCATCTGGAGCTAACCAAGACCTACCACAGATGGAACTCTCTTTCCCTTCCTAAACCTTGGTTCAGCATCCAATATAGGGAAGTTTTGAGTGCATATTATGTGCCAAAGTCTGTTTTTAGTTCTAAGGATACCAAGAGCTTATTGGGGATTAGATCACTCAGTACTGGGCAGCTGTCACTCTCTGATACCACAGCACACACACATGATTTGGTAGTACCAGTGGGAACCACAGATAGTTCATGACCTAGGAATAGGCCAATGGAGACTGACCCTGACTGCCTATAGCAGGAGACATTCCTGACAACTTGAGCACCTGGGCTATTGTTGAATTATAGGACAGGAGGGTGGGTTTTCAATATCTGAAGTTTCTCTTTTTCCTGTAGCCCCTATTCCTCATCCTCAGCCCAGCACCAAACAACTGCCCTCTGACCCAGCAGCTCAGATCTTGTTCCCCTTTCTAAACTGTAGGACATGTCAGGAAATAGTGGGACACACCTGGGGAGTCCACAGAAGTAGTGTTACCTGCTGTCAACTGTTGGCACCACACCTCAGAAGCCAGCTCTAATCCCACTTTCCTGAAGGGAAATCCAGGGCATTTGAGGTGATTTTAGGTCAAAGATGTGTGGTTGAGTTTTCACAGGGCTGGTGTATAGTTAAGCAGGCATA